TCTGCTCTCCTTCTCGGCGCATACAACCGCAATTGTCAACAAAGTACAGAGCCGCAACAATGTCCTCAAGTCGCTGGCCGGCAGCACTTGCGGCCAAGATAAAGAAACGTTGTTGGCCGGCCGGTTCTAAACTATGCAGCGCCCGTGTGGTCGCCGGGGACTAGCAGGACGCAGTGGCTGAAGCAACAGACCTGCCAAAACACGGCATTACGAACTGCGACAGGATGCCTCCTGATGACGCCCCAACACCATCTACATGACGAGGCCCAGATGCTCCCAGTAAAGGAGCATAACATAACACTGAATTCGCAGACGGACGTGTTTTTTTTTGAGGTCCCCGAAAAACTCGCTAAAAGTGTGTATTATCAGCGGTTCGCGGCATCTTGTGACTGTTTCGGTACTGTCCAGCCTTTGGGCCTGCTGTGTTCTAGTTCCACAGACGTCTCCAGCATAGAAAAAGGAAATTTCTTAAATTTCTTTAAATTTGCATATTTGCATACGGCGCGAAGGAAAAATATTTAAAAAACTAAGAGCAGATGAAACAACTATTAAGAGAAATACGCTGCTCTGCTAAACAGTTATCATCGAAAAAATACATTAACAATATTTAAAAACTGCATTACCAACGTTGATTTGAGGCTGCCACTCAGCAAAGTCAAACCGGTTAGAACATTTGTAGAAATGCCACTTGAGAAATATACGTTTGGTGCTTTCGCCAATGCAATTAAAGAAAATACGTCCAGTATACTGTGCACAGTCTGTAACAGGTGTCTACACCAAAAGTGTTCAGACATCAACACTAAAGNGGCGCCAATGCAATTAAAGAAAATACGTCCAGTATACTGTGCACAGTCTGTAACAGGTGGCTACACCAAAAGTGTTCCAACATCAACCCTAAAGACTTCAAGAGAATTGCAACTGAAATCAAGAAAAATAAATTCAAATGGTGCTGTAACCAATGTAAACTGAGAGGTTCATCAAGCAACCTCTGGACCCGTCAGCTTACCGACTGGCCCTGAACGGTATTCACAGAGAGCCAGTCTCGAGTTATGTAGACTCTAGACCTGTGAATGCCGTTCTAGGCATACCGCCCCCGGAAATAGACGTGACGGAGCTTCATCTGCCTCGGGAGACACGAGCGACAATAGCCCAACTCCGCTCTGGCTACTGCAGCAAGTTAAACTCCTACCTGAGTAGATTGAATGAGGATGTGCCAGATGAGTGTCCGGCATGCGGAGAGACCCCACATGACTCGAAACATCTCTTCGCATGCCCGGAAAACCCGACTACACTAACGGCCTTGTCCTTGTGGACCAACTCAACCAGCACTGACTATTGCTAGGTCTGGCGAGCTGGAGCGGCTGCCCATGCCATGCGTCGTCGTTCGTTGTACAGAATGTCGAATCGTCTATCTGCTCCGCCAATTGTGTTCCCCTACGATCGTTTGACAGGCTTGAATGCCAAAGATTGTGGTGCACGTTAAAGTCTCCAACTACCATACAGTTTTCACCTATGAGGAGCGCACTTATTTCAGGGTGATATCCTGCCGGGCAGCTGGTCACAGGGGTATATATACGTTAAATATTTCGAGCTCGACATCGCCTGACCGGATATCAATAGCCTGACATTCTAGGATAGTATCCCTGCGGTCGATGCCTGCTTCGGTAAGACCAAGAATGATAGAATACAAGATTGTGCCGTCCTGGGCGTTGACATTTGTGTACCACAAGTAAACAAAGAATGGAGCGAAAAGAAGAACGAGTTGAAACTGCCAAAGCAGTTCACTTTACAGCGAAAAACGTGTTTTAATTTTGCTAAATGTGAAAATATTGTATTTTTCACCTAATCTATTAAAAACCAGTGAACATTTTAGTGCACTCCATTGCTTTGCAATTAAGGCTGCTGCAGAAACCTGCAGGAGCATCTCTGCGGGATTGATTAGTTAACTTGCTAATGGAGGCTGCGTGGAGCAGAAACAAAATCATTGTGAGGAAATGCTGTTAATATAATAATAGAGAAACATTTCGGGAACGGCTTTGCCGTGCCCTATGTACACAAAAGCTGTCGCAATTTAACACACAGCACTTCATTGTATTCGTTTTTACGCAGTCCTCAACTCAAAAATCACTCACTAATTGCAAATTAACACAATTTAAACTGATTTTTCACTTATAATTAAAATTTATCTTTCGCTGATTTGTAAACAAAGGTTTATTTACAAGTTACCATAACTGCAGTGTTGCCAGAACTTTTTGGACGAACCGGCTAAATTGGCAAATAAAACCGGCTAAATTGGCAAATAAAACCGGCTAAAAACGGCTAAAAT